AGAAAAAACAGACCTGGTGAAAATGACAGCAAAAATATTCTAAGAGTGGCAACACTGAATAGCAAAGCTAATATTGGATTTGAACCATCAGATGGAGACTGCAAGACTAAATAAGTCAAATAATACCAGCAACAACGAAGTAATACAGCTTTGCAAAGATGGTGCTCCTGAGAGTTAAACAGTCTGCCTGCCAGATCATTGGCAGTGCAGGAGGACATCCATATATCTAGCTAGTTTTGTCTCATTGGCCATTCATTGACTGTATGTCAAGCACAAAGTATAGTCAAGTCCTTACAATGAGTTATGTCCTCTATAAACACCACATATCACTGCTCAGCGGCAAAACCAAACATATCTTTGAGGTCTGTATGATAATCAGGAGGTAGCTGTACACATCCTTATGATTAGAAATGGTGTCTGTGGCTGACCCAGCTTGCAGGGGAGTCAGGATGTGTTTTCATGAGCTGGGCATGGGAGCTTGTTAAAGCCTGAATGGTCCCACTGCATTTTGCTGTGGCTGTCATTGTGGAGTTTCCCTGGGAGCAAAGCTGTGCCACCAGCAAGGTGAGATCCAAGTGGGACACTGGTGGTTGGGTCCTCATCCCCTTTGCCAATAGATTTGATTGGGGTAGGAAATTATGTAACATTATTTAAAAGATTTCTGGGATTGGACCATTGTGCAGATGAATCAGCAGTTTCTAACCCATCCCTGCTGGGAAGGGATCTGTTTCCTTCACAGGGAGGCTGCAGACTTCTTTGTTACCTGATTAAATTAACGAAATTCTGGAAATACCTTCTCACTTTTGAATTAAAGGATTTTTCGACAAAGCAAAGGGGTACAGGTTTTTCTCACCCCTTCTTGTAGCTTCCCGCATCTTTTGCAGGGACTGAAGAATAAAAACAAGCTTTCCTTTCTGTCCTGACCACACATCTCCAAGTACAACCTTTTGCCTTCAGGCTCAGCTTTGATGGCACTGCTGAAAGTTGTGCCAAGCTCAGTTCAGAGGAGAGCTGGCTCATAGAGCCCAGTGTGGGGCTTGGCCATCCCAGGGCCCCCAGACTGACCCTGCTGAGGGGCTCTGGCTCCCAGCACCTGTCTTCCTGTGCTGGTGGCAGAGATAGGAGGACCAGCAAAAATAAAACAGTTGGAAGAACTTCCAGCCATGGCTCTCTGAGGCCCTGGTGCAAATGGCATAGCCCAGGATAAGTGGAAGGATTTTTGCTTCCTGGTGTCCTCCTGGGCCCGTGGACAGAACCAGCTGGCAGGGAAGTGCAAATTCACCACTTCTCATCTGTCAGCTGTGCCACAGGCTTAGACATGGCTTGGTGGGGAGGTGTGAGACTAGTACAGCCCTCACCTGGAGATATTTGCTGCAAGGGATTTGTCTCCGGGTTGAAACCATCATTCCTCTCTGTCTAAAATAAATAACCAAGGGAGCATGGGACTTAAAGTAAGCAAAGACCAAGACCAAGATGTTACCAAATGCAAATGACTAAAGACTAAAGGAAAACACTGTTCTAGAAATCTTTAAGGTGGCGCAGGACACATAAATACCATTTTCAGAAGGGAGAGGGGAAGTCCAAGGAATGGCCGCTGTTTAAACAATGGCAGAAGGAAGAAGTGGATGTTATTTTTTCATGTCTGAACACTTTCAGTGTTATTATTTCATGTCTGAAAACTTTCAGGGAATGTATGCCACCATGGTGAGGGAGCTTAGGTGGTGCTGTGCAGTTCTCATGCTGCAGTGCTCTGGCATCTCAGCAGTGAGCTGCTTTTTGGTTCCTTGCACTGTTAGCTAGCTGCAAAAAGCTGGGAGTGATGAGCAAGCAGTGCATGTCTCCCTTCAAGAAGAACCATTCATTCAGATTTTGTTATTCCTTTATATTTCCCTTTCTCCTAATAGGATCAGTAAGGAGAAGAACAGCTGGATAAATGAGGATCTGGTAGCCAGTCATTTGTCCCTGGACTAGGTGCCAGGTTTATTCCAAATTAAATGGTTACTTGCTATTAGAAACCTCTGCACTGAGGAGTGCAATATGCATTATGCATTAGCATATTGCTGATGTTGTCCCCATCACACAACAGCCCTTACCATCAGACTGAAGTTTCCTTGGGGGACCTCCTGGTGTGCCATAGGTCAGCCAAATTGCAGACTGTGCAATCCTGTGAACTCACAGGATGTGCCCTTGTAAGCTCTTGGAGCTTCTGTTTTCTGTGGATGCCATTCACCCAGGGTTATGGCTGTGGCACAGCTGAATTCCCAGCATGGCAGCAGAGAGGAGAGTGCCATGGGACTGCAGCTCTCCTCAGGGAGGAGGCAGCACCCTGTGGCTCTCAGGCTGCCACAGGCAAGCAAAGGGAGAAAGGAGAAAGCTGCAGCACACCTTGCCCTGCTCTGAGGCAGCAGAGGGCTTTCCTAGCATCAGGTCTGAAAAACGTGCAGATAAAGTGTTGTGTTTGTCTTGAGAGGGAAAGTCTGGGTCAGAATTCCCAGTGCTGAATCCCTGGGCATGCTGGTGCAGTTCTCAGCATCCTTTGCTGGGATGGAGGGAATGGCAAGCTTTCCTCTTCTTTGGCTGTTTGCCGCCAATTTGAGACCAAACATTGTGGCCATTGGCAAAGCTCAGAATATGTCTCAAAGCTGCTCTAAACTGCACAAGCTTGCAGCCAGCTCCAGGGGCTGCTCAGCTGCCAGGATGTGCCAGGAGACAGAGCTGTCTGCCTGCTTCCCTGTGCTCCCCAAAGCCCCGTTGATGAGAGGAGGGATGGGCAGCGCCCGCTGCAGCCCAGCGCGGTCTCAGGAGCACCAGGCCACTGCTGCAGAACAAGTTCTTCAGCATGGAATGATCCTTTCCAAGAGGGAAGGTGTATTTTTGGTATGACATTTAGTTTCTAGCCTTTCAATAAAGATGAAGTAATAGATGAGGATATTTTATAAGCTAAATATTAGAAGAAAGTGCTTCAGATGTGGAAGGAAGCAAATGCTGCAGTGAGGCAGGGTGGGTAAATAGCAACACACACTGTTTGATAAAAGTTGCATGTCAGTTTAGTTTCTTCTGCATTGTGTCACTCCATAGATCCTCTCTGAAGGAGTTGTATTGTGAATCGAATGAAGGCAGGAAATTCCTTCTATTCCTCCTGGTTTCCCTCAGCTTCGATTCTTTATGTGATGCCTTGTTTTATAGCTGTTGTCAATGAAAACCATTCAGTAGCTCCCACTGAAAAAAAATTAAAATCAGATATCTGTCTTTGATCTGGTAAATCAGGGCATTTTCCCCAAACTGCAGTCATGCAGTCACAATAGAATTTGTACCCCAAAACAGCAGAACTTTGCAACTCCAAACTGAAAAGATGGAAAGTATTCCCCATAGAGTTTATTTCTTTGTCATGTTCCTGCAAATATTTTGTTTTGTTTTAGAAGAAGTTGTGCAAAAGACTCCAAACTGTTGCACAGACAATTACATTTTTTCTCCCACCACAATGAAAAATTTTGCATCTCACCATAGCCAGGTATCATGTTCTCACAGAACTGTGAAAAGATTTGTTAGTTCGGTTAATTTCTCAAAGTTATGTCCCTAATGTCAGTATTGAACTGTTATTTCTGTCAAAAAAATTAAAGCTACTCAAAGGTGGAAAAATACACTCCTAAGCTGCTAGAGAAACAAGATGAGAATATAGGAATGTTGTAATCTTTGTCTATATGATATCACTTTATCCTGTGGAATGGAGGCAACAAAACTAAATTTATACCCATCACAGAGTGTGCAATGGAATCACAAAACAATCAGTTTTGGTACCATAAACAAAACAATCAGATGGTACCATATAAATTAGGAGGGGGAAGGGTGGCTTGGTGGGGTGCTGCAAATAAGTCTCAAATACCACACAAAAGTCACTATGACTGTTTCTTTTCAACAGATACAGGGGGTTAGCCAGGATTATTAGACATTTTTTCCTTTGCCCCCAGAAGAGTGTATAAGCTCTACTGCTCTCCTGTACACTATCTTTTATTTTTTAAACAGTGTTTATCATCAGACAGAATGATACACAATAGCAAATTCAATATTTTTTTAAAAAAACACTGTAACCCTAGCCTATTTGGGCTATTCTTTTGCCATATTTTAAATTTCTTGTTTTTTCTATGTTGACTAAAATGGATTCAGAACAGGTTACAGGAGTTTTCTGTATTTTTCACTAAGAGATGGTAATTTTTTCTGCCATTCTCATGCTCAAAAAACTGAATATTTGTGGGATCAGAGCTCAGGCATGGCAAACTTGAGAAGGATGAGAAACAAAAAGGAAGGTGCACTAGGGGCTGCTAGACCTAAATAGCATATAAACCCTAAAGTTAGGGGACCCTCAGTAATTAACAGAACGTCTCAGAGAAAGCAAGAGAAAACCAGTGTCTGTCTCTGCCGTTGCTTCCTGCTCTCAGACTGCTGAGGATTTGATGGGGGAAAGAGGGAGGAGAAAAGAGGGCAAATTAGTTATTGCCAGATCTCTTTTCCCTGCTGTGCCAGCAGTCTCTATTCGTGGGACATGCAGCTGTGGCCTGTGCTGGTCCCCTGCACTGCCAGACTGCCAGCACATCCTGCATGCGTGGCACACCTGGTCACGGTGCTCTTCTGTACTTCAGGTTGATCTCTTGGGAGAGTAATTGGGCAATTCTCAGCACAACAGTGTCCCTGGACATGGTTGGGCTTTACCTGTTGAGTTTACTTATTTAGAGAGGCCAAACACCGGCGGCATGTGGCCCATATGTACATCACATTATGCCAGAGTTACCAGCAAAGGACACTGGGGAATAATACTGCTGATTTGATGCATGTTTCCTTTTTTTTATCTTTTTTTTTTTTTTTTTGCAATGAGTGTGCTGTTAATACTGCAGTCACCAGAACTTTTGTTGTTGTTGCTTAGATCAATAGCAAAGGGACGGCGGTGAGGAGCTGCTGTGGTTCTGGCTGCTGCTGCACAAGATGAACTGGTGAATAACGTGTGTGATTTCTCTTTCCCTTGTAGTTGCACTCTGCAGTGACCAGGATCCAAGTTCAAAGACCTGGTTTCAATTACACGTTTGCCCATATATGTATCCTGAACAATGACAAGACATGCATAGTGGACGACATAGTGCATGTACTGGAGGAATTAAAGGCTGCTCGTTCTTCTAATCGAACTAATTTTGCAATCACTTACCCGATTACTCACTTAAAGGATGGCAGGGAAGTGTACAATGGGCATCAGCTCGGTGGGGTTACTGTGCACAGCAAGGACCGGGTGAAGTCTGCAGAAGCCATTCAGCTCACCTACTACTTGCAGGCAATCAACTCCCTGAATGACATGGTGGCAGAGAAGTGGGAGTCCATTTTTTGTGACACTGTTGAACTTTTCCAGAAATCCAACAGGAAAGTCAAAATGTACCCTTTCACTTCCTCTTCGCTGAAGGAGGATTTCCAGAAGACGAGCAGGGTGTCAGAACGCTACCTGATCACGAGCTTGGTCCTTGTGGTCACCTTGGCCATTCTCTGCTGCTCCATGCAGGATTGTGTCCGCAGCAAACCCTGGCTTGGCCTGCTGGGATTGCTGACAGTGACCCTTGCCACCCTGACTGCTGCTGGGATCATCAATCTCACTGGTGGGAAATACAATTCCACCTTCCTGGGAATCCCCTTCGTCATGTTAGGTAACTATCTCCTCTCTCTCTTTTGTGTGTTTGTGCCTCCCTGATGCATTTCCCAGCAAGCAGACAAGCATCACTGCATGGTTCCTGTTGTCTCATTCCTGCAGCACTGCCCCATGCCAAATCCACACTGCCTCTTCTCCTAAACTGTTTTTATGGTGCGTGGACGTTAAAATCATGCCTGGGGCTCTAGTATGGCACAGCACAATGCTGTGGGATGTGGAGCCTGTGCAGTAGCAAGGAACAAGGATGTGCAAATGCTTTGCCTTTTGCAGAGAGGGAGCCCAGGTGCTGCTTCTCTGTGGATGTTTGATTCTGGTTTTGGAGGGAGACCTTTGCAGTGGTCCCCGTGCAACACTGACAGCGTCAGCTGTGCTGGCAAATCAAAGGGCTGCCCATGTTGGGCATTTAGGGAGTGCTGGCTCCTTTGGAGACCAGAGTGATGCTGTCCTGGCTTGGCAGGTGTCTCCCTGTGGGATAAGAGCAGTGGTTGGTTCTGGGTTGCATTTCTCCAGAAGTCCTTGTGTTGGCTGAGCAAGTGTAGGAAGAGTTTCACAGCCCTGGGGTGAGAGCTTTGGCAGCCCTGGTCAGGGATGGACCTGCAAGCTCAGCACCAGCACATCCCAGGCAGAGAGTTATGGAGGGAAGGGGCACTGGCTGCTCCCTGGCTCCTGTGCCAGCAGAGACATCTTTATCTCCCTGGGGTTTGTTCCACCTTCACTCACTGTGGTGTATGGAGTGGTTTCAGTTTGTTTTGTTTTGTTTTGTTTTCATCGAGAGGACAGGAGTCTGGCCATCTTGCTCCCAAACCAAAGTCAGAGCCTTCTCCTGCTGGCACCAGGGCATTTGTGGGAATTCTGCATGTTGAACCCAAAGAGGCAGGAGGACTTCACAGGAGACAAAACGAGAGCTCTGGAGAGTTCACAGCCTCTTTGTTTGTTTTTGGTTCATAACCAGTGTGAAAAGCTTTGTGCACTGTAGGTGTTTAATATGTCCTTGTTCACGCCATTATTCATTTGTTGAGAATAATACATGCATTGATTTGATCACAGCTTCCCCAGCTGAAAATCAGTGTTCAGTAATCCTTCAGGTTTCAAGTGTAAGAGTGTCTCCACTGACTTAGTCACATCATGTAGTGATATGACACGTTTAGAGCACAGCTATTTTTATATCCAGCGCCAGGCTCCTGTGCTGTGCTGGTACTGTAGTGCTGCTGCACTGTGGTATTGTTGCACTTTAATTAAAGACTATGCTTCAGTGCATCACACTACCAGTTAACATACAGAATATATTCAGTGACAAACAGAATCCAGCTACATTACATCGCCTGTCATTTCCAGATGACATCCGTGAAAATTAAACTACATTGTAATCTAGAGGAAATGCAGTGCCAGAAAGTCAGAGTCAAAAGAAGGGTATCTTTCTGACCTGAGTCTCTGGGTTTTTTTGGTGGGTTTTTATGCCTATTCATGTATTATGAAATTCAATTCCTCAAACTAAGTAGTGTATATTAAGTGTAACTTTAGATAGGAGGGGATTTTCTGGTGTGTTACAAGAGTAGCAGAAAAGCAGTCTAAAATCCAGACATATGAAGTGAAAGTACATGAGAAAACTGACTCAAAAATATGAAATATTAGCTTTGTTTAGGGATCAAATATCTGCTCACTGGGACAACCTTTCAGATCTTTAATTTACTAGTAGTGACAATGCTGAGATTTGAAATCCTCAAAGACTTACAGATAACTATGAAAAGTTTCATATGTCTGTTTTAGTACTCCTTTAAGTGCCAAGCTGTATACTCAATTCTGCTTTTCTTTTAGGTTGTTTTTTTTTCTTTTTCCTGATTTTTTTTTTTTTTGCTCTTGTTTGGTTGAAGTATTCCACTCTTAAAAGGGCAGCTCAGCTCCCACTGTGAACGAGTCAAGGTAGAGCAGCCAAGTTCGTGTAAATCTTGCCCGCTGCCCCAGCTGCATAAAATCTCCCAAGGGATGGGAATATCAACAGGTGAACAGAAGGCACTGACAGCATTTTGGAGTTTTTAATGAGAACTGTTTTAAGCTGGCAGATAGCTAGAAAGGCAGGTTGGCCTTTTTCTTCTTCTTCTTTAAGTACAGAGGCAAGATTCATGTGTTTTGAGATGTATTTCATACCTAGATGTTGTTTTGCTTATAAAGGATGTTTTAAGTCAAGGCAACTGAAGGCTGGAGACACCCAGAGCCTCCATTACAGCCCGCTGAACTGCTTCCACTTAATTCCAGTGACCGTCAGATTAGATCATAGATTAACTGACCTTTAGAAAGCCAAAGGATTTCTGGCTAACGACATAGCCCTGTATCTATTACTCATAATCTCATGGCTAAAAGCAGAAATGAGATAGAAAAAATGATTACACCGGACACATTTCAGGCACAGCCCCTTTACTGGTATACATCATTAATGAAGTTTCCATGGTTTACAGCAGCTGAGGATTTTTAACTTTTCATCAGTGTTGCGGGGGCGGGGGGACACTCTCCAGACATCATTTGACACAGGATGAGATTACATCTTTCATAACAAATAGTTTTCATCATGCACTCTGTCTCCTCCTTGGACCACTTCCTCCTGTGTTTTACTGCACAACCACTACATCATGTCTAACATGAGTTTCCCTTTGCATCATGTCTAACCTGAGTTCCCCTTTAGTGACTTAGGCAGCCCCTTTAGTGACTTAGCTGTCCTCCTTATTTATCCATTGCATCTGGAAAATAATTTATTTTCTTTGTCTTTGCATATTTGGTACCACTCTCACTTGCTCAGTCTTCTTCCTTTTCATCCCAGCTTTCCTCAGACTCACACAGACTGTGTTTACCAGACTTCCAGCAATCTTCTTACTTTTGACCATTCCACATCTTCCATGGAGTGTGGTGCCTAAATCCAGGCACAGGATTCAGACTGAGGCTTTCAGCAGCATGTAGAGTAGGAGGAGGATTTTTCACATCTTGCATATGGCACTGCTGTTCATACATCACCATATGTCATTCATTTTTTTCTCAGCAGTATGAAATGGTTGGCATTTGGTTGGTGGTACATGGTAATTCACAGATCCTTCATGTCATTTTCTACCCTGTTTTCACAGCCATTTACTCCAAACAACATGCAGAAGTTTGCCCCTGTCCTTTCTGAATTATAGCTTGTTTATCTCTCACCATTTCTCCTCAGTAAGTTTATCTGGAGACCATCACTGTCTCCAAGATGTATTAGCTGGTCAGCAATGTTTTGCAATTATCAACCTTTTCATATTTTCAAGAATTACTTTCTGAATAGGTTGACCAGTCACAAGCCCAGTCTAAAAATATAGGCAATATGTCTGGGAAATAGTCTGATCAAAGTGCTTTGTAATACTTCTTCCATTCATCCTGTTTTCTTTGACATCCCTTATTCATCAGCCATTTCCAAGAACAAACAAGCTACAGTGAAGGGTACCAGCCTCTGTAGATGTTGAATCCTCAGCTTTTACATCAACAGGGAATTTTAAAAATTACTAAATTACCACGACTTACCAAATTACAGTCTTAGGCTGTGTAAGTGTAGGCAGGAATATCTTTTGCCTACTCCACCTGTTAAATATGACATGCCAGTTTAAACACGTCATACTTTGGTTTTAATCGTGTTAGTTTATTCTAATTTATTTAACTTTTAATTAAGGCAGATTATTGTAAGCCATTTTACGAAAGATGACTCTCCATAGCCTGAGTATGTCACTACTGTGATGACTTTTATGGTGAGGCAGGTTTCTTTTTTGTTGTCCCTGATTTCTGACTCAATGGCAAAAACTGAAGCTGGGAGAAATATTGCCAGAGACGCCCTTGCCCAGCAAATACTAAATAGTGAAGGTTCCCTTTGGTGCCTGGAGGCCCAGCTGTGAGAGGCTGTGGCTGGGGCTGGCCTGAACCCCACTGATGGCTGTGGGGTGAGGCAGCAGAGTCCAGGCTGGCTGCAGCCGCTCTTTTCTCTGGGATGTCTTGTCAAGTCAAACTGGGAGCTGCTCTTCTCCAGTTAGAGGTGAACACAGGTACTTCTGACCTGAAAGTGAAGCCTAAAACCTGGGAAAATTAGCAGGCTCCCTCCATTTGTCTGGACATGGTATGAATTAGCTTATGTAAGGTGGTAATTCAATTTGGTTTTTTCAAATTGCCATCCACATCTATCAGTGTGCAAACAAGTAATTTAAGGACAAGTTTGCTGACATGTCTAGATCTTGTGAATACTTTGTTGAATTTGGGATGTTCATTTTTGACCATGTGAACGAAATAAAATTAATTCTACAGCTAGGTTGTGTTTAAAATAGCTGATTTATAGTGTCTGAAAAACAGAATTAAAATTCTGATTTCCTATTGCCTTCTTCATTAAAAACTACAGATGTTTGGTCTGGCACAGATGCTAATATATCCATCATAAGTTTCCCTTACACATTAAATGCTGTTTAAAAACTGCCAAACCTTTAAAAATAATGTTTTCCTCAAAAAAATCACAGCGTTACCAAACAAATCATTGGACAACAACCAGCGCTGTCTGAACAAGTTTTTGGCGTGACTTTTTTTCCCTTCCCAGAGGCAGAGGGGAAACCTAGGCACTCAAAAGAAAATTGCAACATAGCCCTCTGCACTGCAAGCTAGCAATGTGTTTGCTGTTCCTTCAGAAATGGATACAGCTTACTCGGGGAGAAGTGGCTCTCTGCAGCTGCCAAGTTCGTGAAAAGCATCGGCTCCGTGAAACCGCGCTGGAACGCCGGGCGCTGCCAGATATGGGCAGGGACACAGGGCCAGCTCCCTGAGCTTATATTTAGCCTCCAATGCTGGCAGGGGAAAGCCAGGTAGAAGTTAGGAGAGTGGCTTCAGCTTGTAGCACACTGTAAAAGGAAATTATAGGCAGCTGTGTGTGAAACTCAGCAAAAACAGGTAAATGAAAACCCCTTCTTACAACCCCATGGCATCCCGCCCTGCAGCATGCCCCCTCTGGGATGA